CCTGAATTAACAGGATGGCGCGTACCATGGATTCCATGCTTCTTGAAGGCATCCTCTTCTCAGGCCTATTCGAGATGGTTCGAGGAACTCCAGATAGGCCTTACGCTCCACGTCTCCATTCACCCCCATAGAGCTAATTGGCCCCGTAAGTAGAGAATGGCGTTTTTATTGAAAGAAAAAGGTAGGCCTTGGCGTAATCTCGTAATCTGAAGGCAATCTATGGTTAGGCTTAAGCCTAGCGCTAGTTAGTCCCGTAAGGAAGGAGGGAGGGGGGGGGGGTTGAAGCCATTGAAAATTGGATTTCATATTACTTCATTTATTATTCTTTCCAGCAATGGCTTCGATAAATAAAAATATATTCCGGTCATCTCAAAGAATTTCTTGCCAACGATCCTGGGTCGGCATCGCAGGATGAGCGACTTCCAACATATTTCAACGTTTGCATTTCGAACACTTTATTTCGAACAGATTTATGATTCATTGTCCTCTCTCTTCGAGACGAGGACGACAGGTTCGTCCTCACCTTGGACAGGGTCGCGGGAAGAGACAGACGGGACGAGAAGCTCGCAAACCTGGTCTCTCCGTTTTCCAAAAAATTTCAAGTGAATTTGTGCTCCTCGTCGTTCTTCGCCGTGTCCTGGCCGTTCCGATAGATTCCAATAGTCACAACTTTTTTTTTCATTCCATGCCTTGATGATGGGAATGCGGTCCTCCTCACATTTTTTGCTGTAAGGCCGGGCTCGAACAGACGGGTTTTACTCAACTCGAAAAGAGATCGAGCCCAATGCATCGTCGGCGATGAAGCAATCGCGGATGGATTCCTTCCTTCCGACAAAGGGCATTCCGATCTTCCCCTTTCGCGTCCTTCCCATCCCCACTGACGACCCTCCCCGTCCCCACTTACGTAAGCTGCAGGCAACGCGATGAGCGAGGAAAGGGAACGTTCGTCGTCTGCTTCGGACATCTTAATGCACTCTTGCGTTGGTTCCATTTTTTTTTTCCATTTTTCCATTTCATGCCGAACGAGGGGTACATCCAGGTGCGGGTGAACCCTGGTGCACTCCTCATGATAGGAGTGCATCTGGGTGCACTCTTCATGGGCCTTTGGATTCGAGATTGCAATGTGTCCGGTGGACTTATGATAAAATGAGATTGAAAAGGCGCTGAATCGTGCAAGTCCGAGATATGTCAATGGCGTATTTCCTCCTGCATTTTCCCTCGTTTCCTATAAAGGCATTCCTTTTTTAGAAACGCCGCTTCGATTCGAGGAAGGCGTTTCGTCGGAAACTCGCGTGCTTCGAGCCGATTTCGTCGGAGTCGAGAGAGACCGAGCCCAGGAATCCCGTGGTTCTTCGACCGGTCTCCATAGACTTCGGGGTGAAGAACGAAGGCGACAGGTCCCTCTTCCATCTTCCCCGTCGAAGACACGCTCGACGCGCACTTGGATGAGGCAAGGGAGCGAACTCCACGACCCCGACGTCCACCGTGTTCACCGTGTCCGTGCGAGGAGAAGGGCATCCAGGCAAACCATTCGAGGCCGTTCGATCTCGGAGCCGAGAAGTTCCTCGACCGAAGAAAAGAAATCATTCGCAAGGACGATCGCAAATCCCCATTCCGTCGCCGAAGTCGCCGAGATGAACTGGAAAAAACTTGGAAAAACTTGCAGAGAGGAAAAGGTGAGACTTTGCACGATGGCATCTCCTGGCCGGATCAAGACTCTACCACGGGACATGCCGGGAGACGAATTCAGGTTACCCTGTTACGATCCGTGCAGCGAACAGTCAGAACGACCGACCGTCGGTCTGCATTGAAAAGGAGATTTATTGGAGCTATCGATGGGTCGCGATGCGTCATCGTAAGCTGACGTGACGAACTCTTGTTTTTAGTCGCCTCTCCGAAACGAAATCGTGAAAGTAACACGATACGTCGACACTGGGCGAGCAAAATTTGATTTGTCGTGGAATTCCAGGAGGAAGATGTAAACGGGAAATAATCCATTTCGCGTTGATTTCTCGGAGCAGAAGCAAGATGGAGGTGAAAACCTCGATCGTGGACGCGAAAGGTCACATTTTTGCAGTCGATTCTACTGAGAAGTTGCTTATTGTGCCCACCGTGGCTATTCACCGAGGCTGTCCACCGTGGCTGTCCACCGTGGCTGTCCACCGTGGCTGTCCACCACACGTTGTGAATGTGGAAGTCATTCCCGGATTGCTTTCGCGTGAACGTTGATCGTTTTGTTTTCCTCTTTGCAATCTCCAGACGGCGTAATCCGGCAAGCACTTTCGGCTAAATGAAAAATCGGTGGTGTCCCCCCCCCCCCCCCCCCCCCCCACGCCCCCTCCCTTAAACCAATCTTAGAATTACTCTATATACCAAAATACAGGTTTAGTTCTATAACATTCAAATGGGAC